CGCTTAACCGATCTCCGTCCATCGGCTTGCGTGAATTGGAATCGAATCTGTGAAGCATCGTTTCACGCTGGATAAGACATGAGGAAAATGGAAAGGAAAGTATGTGTGCGTATAATTCGCAGAGAATCTTCGGCACTGTGAAAGTGTGAATTGGCTCTGTTATTGTGTGTGAGCGAGTGAGTTCGTTCTTCTAGAAATAATAGAAAGACGAAACGGGAAATGAAACCCTAGCTCGCTCTGGAAGTTGAGATTCAGCCTTTGTTTTTGGTCACTGTTTTCATTGCTTCCCCACTCTGTAGCCAAATCCGGCACTGTTATTTTTAAAAGTATTTTTAATGGAATAAGAATAAGAATTTTTGGAGAATGAAGTCCACGATTGAAGAGACCGTTTGGTGAAATGGACCGAATTACCCTTCTCCAACGGCGCCACTTGGCACTTTTCGTATTTATTTAACTATATTTACTGCATTTATTTTCATGTTTGTACTTCTGTCCTATTCCTGCGTTATCTCTGCCTTTTTAATATCTAAATCTTTTTTATTTTATTTCTTTCTATATGTCTAAATTTAAAATATAATTAATACTTCATTTATTCATATTAAATTTTTATTTTTTTATGAAAAAAAGTGGGAAAAGCGTGATTATAGAGGATAAAATATTAGAAAATAAGGGAAGATAATGCGCGGATCAGAGTCTTAAAATACACAAAAGGCTACCATTTGCGTGCATCAGACTAGGACACAATCATGACACATCGCATGCGTCTCGCTATTAAATAAATTAATCTTTTTTAAATTTAATTTAAACAAAAAAAGAAGAAGACAGCTATGGAAAATAAATAAAAATAAAATATAACGGAAGAGATGGATGGGAATGGCATATCCATATGCTGTGATGTGGCATACATAGGTACATTGCATTCCCTGCATGACATGACCCCGAATAGAGGGGTGAAAGGACATGTGACATGGCAAATTGTGATGTGACATGATGTGATGGAATGGTAGGTATGTAGTGTGAAATATAGAGATGCGCTTACTTACAAAGCAGTAAACCGGTTTCGGGCTCTCGGGTCAATCTGACCAGTGACAAGCTGTTTAAAAACATGAACCCGATTCTCTTTTACCCGGTTGAACGGGTTGAACGGGTTGAACCCGTAGTGTTTGCGGATACTTTTCATTTACATTACAATTGTATTTGTCAGCTTAAAATAGTTCTTCTTTTGTTCTTTGTATTCCATTTTTTGTATCCCATATTTGGCAATGCCTATTTCTGCATGTGTGTTTTAATTTCTTTTATTGTAAAATTAAAGGTATTATTGGTAGAACCATGAACCTTTGTCTGGTAGGAAAGAAGCATGTAGAAGGAGGAAGTGGTGGGTGGGTGAAAAAGAAAATAAAATAAAAAGAAACTATTTTAATTAAATATAAACTGTAAATGATGAATTTTTTCTATAATTTATTCTACATATAATTTATATATATATATATATATTTTTTTTTTTTTCAAAACTATTAAAATATTATTGTCTTGACAATAAAATATAATATTTTATTAGTTAAACTCATTTTTAAGTTGTTGTTGTTTAAAAGCAATATGATATATTGAGACTTTAAATTCATCCTTCAATTCTTTGACTTTAGTTTTATATTAAAAAAAATTGTAAGCAAGTTAACTAAATAAATTAGCACATGATTTGCGTCTAATTAACAATGATGATTACTTTTATTTAAATAAACTATTAATGCAATTCATAGGCATAGGCACATGACATGACTAAGTGGAACCCTAATTTGATCCCTTGGAGATTTGCATGAACAGTGTTCCTGATTTGTGTAATCTTTATGTCAAAGGAAATACTCCAACTTACCTAGTTTAACCCTAGTAACTAAGTAACATTATCTAGTGCCACGTGATGGGTTTATGACATTTTGTCTTCTTCTGTATGGCCTTCAACGATTACACGTAAATAAAGTCATTTTCGTTGCTTACACTTTTCTGACACGCAAATAATTTAAAAAGTTAACATGCCATGATAAGAGCTTTCAAGTTTTCGGTTTCTATGTAGTCTACTAGACCGTAAATAAGGTAACTAGAAATAACTACACTACACCTCTTAATCTATTCTGTGTTTCATTTCAATACTTGTTTAAGCAAAAAACTAGACAAGTCATAATTCTAAACCATCAAATAATTGTTTTTTCTTCTTATATCTGCTTTAAAGAGGTCAATATACACTGATAACTCGTCAGGTTACAAGTGCAAAAAATTGTTCTAGCATGGCATTTGGATTTTGCTGTTATGAAAAAGATTAATTAGGGAAGTTTTGAAAAACATAAATTTAGAAATGATTCTTCATATTATGATTTTCAAAATATTTTTGAAAATCTGATTTTGAAACACTTTCGAAAAACTTAAGGATAGTATAAATATGGGGTGCAGACAGAAAATATTTGTTGAATCTTACTTCGGCTTGCAAAAGCCCATAGGAGAAAGTGGTCTGAAAGAGAAGCCCATTACCAGACAGCATTCTAGTTTATACAAAGGTTTGATATAAAAAATAAAAACATCACTTGGCCCGTTATGCTTATAAGATTGTGTGGTGCAGGTGGTAACACGTTAGCCAGAGGACACGTGTGAGGCACGCACGTGTGTAATGAGGATGAAATGAAAAAAAATCCAAAAATTATAAGAGCATGACCTTGGAAGCAACCCAAGCTTGATTGAGAAGGCTCATACTCAAACTCACGATCACATGCTCACTGACACAAACACACATCTTTTCTTCCTTTCTCGCGTGCTCCCTGCATACCTCTCTATTTTTCTATTTCAAAACCACACCAATAAAGAGACACCACTCCCACAATTAATTTCCTCCCACTTTAGAAATCACATTTTCTTTTTCTTGCCTCATTTTGCTTAAAATATACATCATCTGAACCCTGATATTAAGATTTGAAAAGGTGTGAAGGTAGTAGTAACTGTGCAAGCAAAAACAAACCTTATCCATGAGTTACTGAGGGTTGATTAACATGGGGATCAGAGTCAGGCCCATCTGACTCAATCCTTGTTTTATCTCAATGCATATAAAATCCCAATAATAAGGTAAAATGCCCTCTGGAATACCAGCATCCACATGATTTTTCATCAAAATGTTTTTGAATTTGGTGAGGACGGTACAGGTATACAACTTTGCCAAAACTAAGTCTCACTTGTCACATGAAACCTAATCCATTAGTCCATATTATTTCTCTTCAAATTTCATGTTCATTATAGGTCATAGTTACTACTTCATTTCTGCAGAACCCAGCAACTGTCATGGTAGTAATATATAAAGATAGTGGCTTTGTTGTTATTTTGATTACCCTAAAGAAAATTCTTAGTCCTTAACCATTAGGGGTATAGAACTGATTCAATGTTGATGAAATTTTAGCAAAGGGAGGAAGGAGATGAAAGTGAAGATGTTGGTAAGAAGCCACGTGGATGAGATCATGGGGATTTTTGGATTAAGTTGAGCTGTAAGCATCGTGCAGAAACGTGAGAAGGGGAATATAATAAGAGGGCATGATAGGGCAAGAGGGGTGGAAAGTACAATTAATTGAACTAAACTATGTAATAAATCAGAATGAAATGAATAAACTAAAGTTTTGCACGTCTTCCCAAGTAATAATATTATTAGCAGCAGAGGAATCCGGCTGTAAACTTGGACACTATTGGAGAACTCACAGCGACAAAACCTGCAAGAGATCGATTCTTTGAGGGGTTGAATTTCATCACCATTAAATTCTACCCTCTTAATCATTGTTAATTAGCATATTAATTATCCAATAATTTACTCTCTATATGCATTAACTATTAAGGTCTCTGCCCAGTGGTTTTACTTTATGGCCAAAATTAGTGTCTAAAACTGACACGTTGAGGAAAGTGAGCAGTGTGTGTCTGTGGCCATAGCTGTTTTCTTTCCCAGTGACAGCCCACCATTGTGCTGCTGCTTAACACTTGATTCCTGCTCAAACCACATGATCATTATTCATTGCATCAACTAATCCTTCTTCCTTTTCCTCTCATCGTTTTTACTTTACACACAAACCTTTTGGTACCATACACTTGTACTCAACACATTCCTAACATAACATAACTTCTATGTATATATGCAAAGAATCTCAATCAAAAGTAATCAGCGTCATGTCAGACAGTGTGTGATGGTGTTTCATTAGCATGAAACTTCATTACTTTAACAAGTTTTCTTCTAACTACAACTTGCCAATTTCATATATCAAACAATCGATTAATGACATGTCAAAAAGTTATCCTATTTGATAAAATAATAATAATGACCCCTTGAATATTTCTTAAAACTTATCAGTATATAAGTTACACACAGATATGTTTCTTTTCTTAAAACTTATCAGTATAAATTACACACAGATACGTTTCTTTTTTCCAATAGTTATGGCTATTTCTTTGATGAACAACAACAATAACAAAAAGAGTGGTAGTATAGTAACTCATTATTATCGTTTAGGATTTGAGAGAAGGACACAGAATACACATGGCAACTACTTGAGTTCATGTAGAAAATTGAAATGAAGAAGGAAAGATTGCTAGAAAGTTTGTTTGAAAGAATATTAGAAGCATTGCCAGAAAGTAAAAAGAGGGAAACAGAAAAGAAAATCTGGTTTGGAAAATAAAGGGAAAGAAAATGAAAGTGGATTAATTAACTTTACAGAACTTGCAAGTCACTTCCCTTGTTATTTTTAGATTTAAATTATTAATAATATTTATTATTAAAATAGTGTGCATGAAAAAAGATGCTGGAATGTGAGTAATTACAGTTGTGCCACTGCTTTACTCCTCAAAACCCCACCATCACTCGCACACCTCCCAGACTCTCAGACACACCAAACCAATCTTCAATCAAAACGGTGCGTTCCCTCTCTTTAAAACAGCACCAACTACTCTTTCTCTCTTTAACTTTCTCCCACTAAAACACTATCTATATGGAAGCGCCGGAATACTTCGTCGGAGGATATTTTGCCGCAGGAGGAGCTGACCAATTTTCGCAGCCGGAGAAGCGCCACACCGACCAGAAAACCGGGGAGCCTTTCGCCATTGATGACCTCCTCGACTTCTCCCACGCCGACGCCATTATGTCTGATGGTTTCTTCGACAATGTCGCCGGAAACTCCACCGACTCCTCCACCGTCACCGCTCTTGACAGCTGCAACTCCTCAATTTCAGGCAGCGACAACCGTTTTCCCGCCGCCATTGTCCCTCGCGGATTCGCCGGGGATCCTCAATTCTCTGGAGAACTCTGCGTTCCGGTTAGTAATTCTCAGAACTTAAAGGCTGAATGACGGAATAAACAGATAATTGTGATAATTCGAGTTCATTTAAATCAAATTTGTTTAATATTTTGGAAATTGAGTTTTCTCGGCGCGTGATTCCGTGGCAGTATGATGACATGGCGGAACTGGAATGGCTCTCGAACTTCGTGGAGGACTCGTTCTCCGCCGAGGAGGAGTTGAAGACGCTACAGCTACTCTCCGGCGCCGCTGCGTCCACCGCCATTGGCGTGAAACCGCAGACGCCGGAGTCTTCATCCTCCACCGACACGCTTCCGCCGTTCGCTTCCGACGATACCGCTCGAAACGCGCCGTTCCTCCACTCAGAGACGCCGCTCCCGGGGAAGGCGCGAAGCAAGCGCTCACGCGCGGCACCGGGGGACTGGTCCACGCGCCTGCTCCACCTTGTCGCTCCGGAGCAAGAGAAGCCGCCGCAGGCGAAGGCTTCGCCTGTGAAGAAGAGAGAGGGAACGAATGCGGAGTGTTCCGGACGGAAATGCCTGCACTGCGGCGCGGAGAAGACGCCGCAGTGGCGGACGGGACCCATGGGACCGAAGACGCTATGCAACGCGTGCGGCGTGAGGTTCAAGTCCGGGCGGCTGGTGCCAGAGTACCGTCCGGCGGCGAGCCCGACGTTCGTGTCGACGAAGCATTCGAATTCGCATCGGAAAGTTTTGGAGCTGAGGCGGCAGAAGGATCTTCAGCGACAGCAGCATCAGCAATTGATGAGTCAGAGTTCAATTTTCGGCGTATCAAACGGCGGCGATGAGTTCTTAATCCACCATCATCATCACCGTCACCATTGTGGGCCAGATTTTAGACACGTTATTTAGCTTACCTAGTTTTTCCTTTTATTTTTAATTTTAATTTAGGGTGCAGGTCTAAGTTTAAACTATCTCAGCTTCAGCACTCTCTTTCCCTTTTTATCTTATCTCAAAAATTTTGTCTTATAAATTTGAATTCTTAGCTTTTTCTTATTTTCTCTTTTTCCTTTATGGTAGAAAGTCAGAAAAGAAAAGAAAAGAAAAAGACAATCGAATCATGGGCATGGGGAGATAAAAATAAGGAGCAAGATCTTCATCCGGTGTAGAATCTACTCTTCTCTCTCTTTTTCCCGAATTTGGAAAATTTAGAATCAAAATCTTAGTTTTATTTGAATTCAGGATAAATAAAAGTCCATAAAAAAATGGACAGAAATTATTTGCCCAGTAGCGGGGAAAGTATTCAATTGGTGTGGTCAACTTCAAATTTGCTCATTTTTTTTTTCATTCAATTACCACCGATGAATTTAAGTAATGATAAAGGTTTTTACTCAACCTTGCACATGAATCAACAAATTACATAAAACGATATTAGATTTATTACGTAACATGGGACTGTAGCCTCATTCACAATAATAAATTAGCAACAACAGTGATGGTTGCTTAATTTGGTGAATTGGTAATAATGAAACAATGTGTTGATCTTTTGCCTCATAAAAAAAAGTTATGAATTCGCAATTGATGTATTGGTCTAGTTTTTTGGTTGTGAACTGTTGACAAAGGGATATTTGTGTCGATGAGAGACAATGTGAGGACCTTCACCGACAATTATGAAGGGCGAATGCGTGAGAGAGAGGTGGGGATTAGAGAAGAAGTGGTTATGTGTAAGGATTGCATGGATTTCAGTGAAATTATGAAATTGGAAGAAGATTTTGAGTTGATGGTTAGCCTCTTGCCAGTTGTGCATCGTCCTCTGTACGTACCATGTACATGGAAGTGCGTTAAAGGAAAGTGAAAGAATGAACGAAATTATGAGAGGAACGTGGAGGGGTAGAAAAATATTAAGAGGAATTTAAAACAATAAACGGGTGCTCAGCTTGGAAAATGGTGCAGCAAAGTCATGTGATTTGAGTTGTGAGGAATTGTTAAATAAACAAAGAATTAGGTACACATTGAGTATTGATATAACTGTCCACCCAATGCTAGACATTTCCCCTTCCTCTGGGCTCCACTCTTTCATTATACACACTCCTTACTATTCACACCTCAATTTTCTCATTTTCATCCTTTTTATCAATTCAACCTTCCTCCTATATACTCTTTCTATGCTTACTACCTTCACTCTTCTCATTCCACCAAAATTTAAACTAATACAAACCTCCTCTAAAGTTTCAATAAAGTTACCAAAATGTGAAATATAATAAAATATTCAACTTTCATCTTCCTAATTCATAAAATTAGCTGCTTATACTTACCAAAATGGGTGAGTTTTGATTATGGATCTTGTAAAAAAGAAATTCCTCTAAAATTGGAAATTATTTTTTTTTAATTTGCAATATTATATGATAGTAATTAAACTATTTATGTCTTAGACAAATGATTATTTCAAGTGATTGCATATTACTGTTGTAACATAAGGTTATTGCCTAGTTTCAATTTTCACAACCGAAAAGAGAAGCATCATTAAATGTATCTACCAATTCCTTTTTGTAAGAAAATGATTATGAATGAATATTTAAAAAGTTGTTTTTTTTAATCACTATTTAGCATAAAAAAAGGTTTTGTTTGAAAAAAAAGAAAAGAAAAAGAGAAATAAAGGGTTTGTGACTATATACGAGGCTTTTCATGCAAACAGATACATAGTTTTTCAGCTTTTGAGAAAGCGACGATATTTTGAAGAAAGAGGACATACAAAGTACAGTGTATGTACACATTGCTGCGTAGCCAATGTCGGTATCACATACAATATTAATTTATTCCAAACATTTAACTTATATTGGATGATGATGATGATGGAGAGTGCTGAAATCAATTTTGTATTGAACCCACCAAGTTGAATGAACCATGTGAGTGAAATTGATGAGTATGACTGTGGTAAATGTTGCAGTAGGAAGATAGAAGGAGGAGGTTAAGAGAGAGGAAGAAGCATATGAAAGGGTAGGAAGGGGAAGTAGAGAGAGCATAGAGGCATGTGGGTGATGAAACAAAGCACATGCAGTAGGTGAGGTGTGTGAGTGTTAGTTTGTGGCTCTGTTGGTGTTGGCATGAGAATGATGGATAATATATCCAAAAAATGGAGGATATGCCTTGCCTTTGCTGCATGCATGCCCCATTGTGAAGGGATCTTTTCATGTGTCTCTGTAAAGACCATGGATGCTGATAATGGCTTCTTGTCCCCTCACTTCTTCCATCTCCATCACCCTTCTTTTGGGGCCTTAAATTATTGCCATGCTTCCTTAGTTACCTCTTTTGCTCTCTCCTTCCAATTTTCCATCCACCTTCACTGCATTTTTTCTCATTTACCTCAAATTTCCTTGTAAATAAATGCCTCAGAAACTTTAGGTTATCTGTCTCAGAAAATTACAGATTAATTAAAAACTCTCATTAACATGGTAGAAGGAAAAATAAATATGTGAGACAACTTTAGCATATATATATCCAACGCTTTTATTAATGGCTGTAATTTTTCCACCCATCAACCAATTCACATTTGAAGTAAAAATAAGTAAAAAGGAGAACCTTTAGATAATTCTTTTTTTTTCTATCGCTTTACTAAAAATATACTGGCAGCATATATAAATAAATTTCTATATAAATTATGAAAAGATATGTAATTTTAGTCTTTTTGTTTTGGAGTTTATATATAGGGTCATTGGTGAGTCATTGTCGTTAGGTGATAAACAGAGCTAACAAGCAACATCATAGCTTCTTGGAAAAGTTGTGTGGTTTATGTAAACTTCTTTCATTCTACATCATTTGCTTCCAACCTTTCAAGGATATGGTGGATAACAACTACTTCAAATTACTATCTCTTATGTTCATCTTTAGGGCATCAATTTTTGTTATCTACGAATAAAAAAATGAGTAAGTGGAACTTCATTTATGGTGAAGATGAAAAACTTGTTTCTTATCATAATGTTCTTATTACATTATTATTATCATTATTACAATTAATGTCAACTTTCTAAATATTATTATTGATGCAAGGTCATTGATAACCTTTCAACCATAATACAAGTATATTTGACAAGATTTTTTAACCCATTTAACTAAATTAAACAACAACTTTCTACAGTACAGTATATGGAAATATGACTAGGTCAAAATTAAGAGAGAGAAAGTTTCATGTTCTCCTCACGTGCATGCCAAGGATTTTGTATGCCATTGAAATACATGGAATTAGGTTGGATGACCTTGCTAACTGGCAAAATTTATTATAATACCAACATCACATAAATCAAAGCTTCACAACATACACTTGTGCGTGATCAGTGCCGTATATTGCATAAATATAATAACACTTATGACTAAATTTTATATATATATATATATATATATATATATATATATATATATATATATATATATATATATATATATATACACACATATATATAGAGTGAGAGAGAGGGTAAGTAGGATCATACATAGACCATAATTTTCAACTACTTATTGTAGTTATCACCAACTGTATATTTTCTGATACATTTCCAAATGAAAATATGAATTTGTATCTTGTTGACCAGTCATTCAGTTTGGCTGTCACTGCATCCAGTTCATATTTTTCAGAATTATGTTTTGTCAAACTTGTGTCAATAGTGAAGAATAAGGAAAAAATATATGAGAAAACAGGTTACATATGAAAAAAATGAGACAATTTAGTTTTCTTCAGCCCAAAAGAAGCTCCAAATGCAGAAAATAAGGCTTCAGAGATTCCTAGTCCCGAGTCAGGACTTGGCCCAAATCTGTGTGATTCATGGCTAACTATTTGACATGAATATTACAGTGAGGTCATGAATCCTAGAACATCCAACTAAACCTACCTCAACCCTCTGATAGGAAAAATGATTGCTACTAAATACATAACCAAAAATTTAGTCTACTTTGGTTTTTCCAAGAGTGGAACTCTCATCTGGTCTAATGGTGCATCTTTTTACTATGTGTTCTGATATAAATGTTTTCTTGTAATTTAAGAGTAGTGATGCATAGCCACTCTTATATATCGAATAATTAATACTTATCAAGGGATAGGTTTTATCCCATGGCCAGAGTGTTAAGAAAAAATTGGAGAATTCAGCAAGTTTATGAGCCTTGGACAGTCTAATCAAATGAAATATGCTCTTGTGCTTACATTTTTGTTTCTTCAAATGCCCTTAATATGAGTATCGAAAGTGAGGATCAAAATACCAAAAGTTAGGATAAAAAGTCTGATGTGCACGTGCACCCTCTTTCCCTTTGCTTATTTTTGGCCACAATAACAATCCAACCAATGGTAGACTTTGTAAACAGAGGTTTTGACAAGTAAAATGATTGACAAGAACATTTGAAGTCACAGGTAGTGAACTTTATCCTCAACTGAACCACGGTTTTCCTCAATATTGGCCACAAACTCCTTCACATGACACAAAGACCCCGTGAATGTGTTGAAAAATATCATGCTTCTGATTGGTTATATATTGGTTAAGCTATGAACAATGTAAGTTAAGAGACACTACTTTAGGTGATGGGATGCAACTGCAATTGTTTACTCATCAAATCATTCACAGTGGAGAGCACAATTTGCATTTGGGTTTCTTCATTTGATACTTATGGCAAACACTTGTTGCCCCATTGAGCTGGAGCCAAGGACATTGAATCAAGTGCAGCTCAACCAAGCAAGGGTAAGTACACAACTGCATAACTTCTTCTCCTATCATTTATCATTCTCAATCATTTACTTCATTTTCTTTGCTTTGGAGGTTAAATTTCCTCATGTTTACCCTATGAATGATGCTGATTGTTTCTTGCAGGAGGTGGCTGCAGAGGTTGTTCAAAAGTTGGAACCATGTGAAGCATCAGCTCTGTTTATTGAAGTATGATTTCCTAACCTAGCACATTTTTGGATCATAATAGTATCTTCTATCTTTGCTAATGTAATACTTTTTACATATTAGTTGACCTATAACTTAAGTTGTAACCCCATAATTTTAAACCTTCTTATTCACTAAGAAGGTTTAAAATTCATCAACCCACATCACTTTCAAGTTAATAAGGCCAGAAATTAGGGTTTTAGAGAGTTTAGCCCAACACTACCACTTCTTCTTTCATCATATGTCATAGTCATACTTGGACATGTACCAAAAATAAATATGGCTTTAAGCAAGGATGAACCTGTCAAATTGTTCAATGCCTTGCTCCATTATCATTCATGCAATCATATGCATATGTTTATTCTATTTTCTATTTGCTTTTCTTAAATTTCACTGTGAATATAAAATTGAGGTATGAAAATCTATAGATGTTTACTATAAAAAATGTGTTTGTGTGTGCCTTTTACTCTTAAGGGAAAATAGCTAAGATTTATTTATTCTTCACATCTTTATTAAATTATAAATAAAGTTGTTGCCTTGAAAATATGGAAAAACTTAATATATTTGTATTCCTTAAAAAAAAAATTATTACTTGACACATTTATTATTCATTAAATAGATGAAAATGTTTAAATATTTAATGCCTGAAAGCTGGTCCAAATTAGGCTAACTTATTGATAATAAATAAAATTCTTAAAAATGCAATGTTTATAGAGTAGCCTAAGTCCATAGTGCCTAATTTGTGAGCTTTTTAATCGTGTAGGGTTTCTTGTGTAGCCTATTTAGCTATGTGGGGTGTTTTCATAGTGTAGTTTTCAAAGGCCAAGAAAAAATGGGGGTGACCTAAGTCTTCCAAAAAAGCTCTAGTAGTTAACATTCATAACAACACAAAGACATTATTACATCAAATATTTGGACAAAGTAAAGTGACTAAATAGTGAATATGTCTCTTTGCCTTTAGTTTCAATCCAATGTTTTAAAAAATGAAGACTTTTTCAATCTCTATGGTGGGGTGTGAAAGAGTTTTTCTTCTCTCTCACACACACATATATGAATGAAAGAATGCTTATTAAACAGTGTCTGTTAATGAAGGGGCTGATGCATCAGGAAGTGATGCAGATGGATGAGAATGGAAGCCTAACTCAGAAGCCTGCTGATTGCATGAAGAAGGCTGAGTCTAGCTCTGACCACAACAAAGCTTGCCATTGCCAATGCTCCTGTACCACTGAAAACTCATTCAAAGAACCACTTTCTGCGCCATTTTGATTTATGCTTATTACACTATTACTTGCTTCTGTTAAATTTCACCTTTTCTTTCTTCTCATGCTAGTGATGTCAATGCAAATATTGCTACTAGTTGCTAATAAAATCCATGATGATTCAGACAAGTGTACAACATTGTTCTGCAAACTGGAACCAACTTCATTCATATGCAGTATACTAAACTAAAGTGACTTTATAGAAAACAACAACCCCAACAAAAAAAAAAATCAGAAAAATATTATTTTTTGAATTTTTCAATTCGGAACTTTAAAATATGCTTCTGAATCACTAATTTTATAGGTTAATAAGAATATTATTGTCTTTTTTTAAATCAAAATGAAAGAACTGAGAAAAAGTATATTGGTGCAGGAAGGAAGAATGTGACTAGATTTGGTTGTATGAGGTGTTTCACTGTTATGGGCTTTGTTTTGGCCCTTTTTGGTACTTTGTTTTGTTTCACTGATGACCAAACATTCAACCTTTGAAAACATAATTGAAAACAAAACCTAAGTTTTATTAAATTAACATTTATTATTTAGTCCAATAAAAAAACCAAAACACGCCCTTAGTAAAAAAAAAAAAAAAACAACCAACCTCATCCACTTCTACTCCATGCTCGATTCTAAACAATATTCAAATGAAAGATATTTATTTTATGATAGTTTTTTTTTAAATAAAAAAATTATTCATACATACATAAAACTCAAATTCAAGATTACAACCTCATCCACTTCTTATTATTTTTAAAAAAGCGGTTGATTACCATCTTTTAATCGATTTTTAATTAAATTAGAATAAAATCGATAAAATTAATAAAAAATCAATTAACCGTTTTAAATGAATTGATAAAAAAAAGTAAGCATCAAAATTAAAAAATATATATATATATTTTATAAAAATAATAATATTTTTTTATTAATAAATAAAATTTAAATAAATTTTATTTTATTATATTATTATTTTATTATATTATTATTTTTCTTATATTTTATATTTGTAATTATCATTTCTTTCTATTATATTGTATATTTATATTATCATTATCATAATTTTTCAGTAAAAAGTTTATTATTAGTAATAAATTTATCATATACTAATTTATTAAAATATTCTATTTTATTAAATTGGATAGAATTTCGATTAAATTATTAAACCTTGATCTCGTTTTTCAGCATTACAAGTAAAAATTGAATTTTTAAAAAACATTGAAAAGGAGGGAAAAAAATGGAAGAAGCTGACTAGAATAACTTAGGGAAAGATCATTTAGGTCAACCTCCTTTACTATCTCTATATGCATTGGTGAAATTGGAAAATACAAGTTTAATTAAAATCTTAATTAATAATTCATTAATGCAAACAACTTTTTTACTAAAATAATACTATTATATTATATTATATATATATATATATATATATATATATATATATATATATAAACGAATATCTCGATGAAATTATTTATTTAACTAAACTTCTCGTAAAATTATTTACTTAATTGAATTTCTTTTATTGTTGTACTTAGAATTTGGTTTCTCGTAAACCGAATTCCAATTTTAAACTTACCACTTTTTTTAAATAAAAAATTAAATAAAATATATAATTAAAAATAATAAAATTAATATTAAAAATAAAATTTTAATTTTAAAATTTAAACAATATTTATATAAAAATAATAAAAATAATATATTATTTAAATATATATTAAAATATATTTAAATAATTATTAAAAATATTAAATAATAATTTTTTATTATATTTTTTTGAATAGGAAATTTAAAATTTATATATTTTTTTATTATATGAATTATTTAAGTTATAATATTAGAAAAAAATTGATAAATTTATTATATAAAGTATTAAAAGTAAAATTAAAAATAAGTTATTAGTAGCAAAATAAAAATTATAGAACATGATATTAAAGAAAAATAATAACAGGTAAAAAGATTTTTATAGAGTGAAAATAATAGAGGTTTATGAAGAAGAAAACCCTCCACAAATTTCTCCTGAAATTCAAGAACAACCATACCGACAAAATCCAAAACGTAATAGAAGTCGTTCTTGTTGTGGAACTGAACACCATTTTTGAGATTAAAATTTTCTTAACATTATTGTCAATATTTTTTTTCAATTTTTATTATGAATGATTATGTTATTTTTAATATTATACATTACATTCTATCAATTTTTATTATATTTTTATTTTTAAGTTTATTTTATATTAATAATAATAATTTTTAACTAATTAAATAATATTTTTGATTCTCTTGTTATTTTTTTACAATACATTATTGTTTATTTTATTTACTCTGTTTATGTGTTAATCAAAATTAGTCTAATTTTCAATTTATTAATAGTTAAAACACCAAAATATTAAAAATAAAATTATAAATTAAAATGAAAAAAAATTAAAATTTTTTTATATAATAAGAAGGTAAAATTAAAAAAAATGTATAAAAAAATAATCACTCCGTCTAATCTCTTTTATTAATAATATAAAAAAGATTAAATAAATAAATATTAAAATAATAACTAAATCTATTTCAATTTTTATGTTTCTTGAGTCCAAAAACCTCATTCTTTATTATCTTTTTAAATCATTTATTTTCTTTTTCACTCAAATTCAATATCCCAATTAAACAAAAGATAAATGAAACGTTAAATCTTAAATGGAATTATGAAAAACAATTAAATTAAAAAAATCGTCAATCATATAAATTGGCAATAGATGTGTATTATATTTATTAATTCAAAATTTTGAATAGCATTTGTTTCAATTATCATATTTTTTAAATAACATCAAATTCAAATAATTTATTTAAGAGTTGATTAAAAAGAAAAAGAAAAATATACAATTCCTCATCTATATAAATTAATTTTGTTTCTTTAACACTAATCTATTCATTACCGTGTGTTTCACAGCTCTGACAACTAGGATTAGTACAATCATAGAAAAACCTTCCTCTGTAACAAACACTAATTTTTTTGGAAAATGATACTTTTCACCTTCAAAATTCGTATAATTCTTATAAACAATTTTCTTTTAATATTATAATAATAATTTTAATTTATTTTTATTTTTATTAAACCATTCTATAAATTATTATATTAATAAAAGTGGGTTATAATGGTTTCTCGTTTTAAAAAATATCAGCACTCAATTTTTTTTTTATTTCTCTCTCTCTTCATCACTGTCACCACTTTGCATGTATTTAAACGTCATTTGCACACCCAAAGCTCATTCATTCACACTACCCCACCTCTCTAAACTGCACAAAAACAATTACTGAACAGAGCAGAAGGAGAAAGATGGTGACTGAGCAGAGAAAAGCAGAGGAGATCCAGCACGAGTCCAAGTTCACGGCGTTGGAAACCACTGCCACAATCAGCGGCTCCCTTGCCGGAGATGCCGCCAAGACCCGCCGCCGCCGGAGGGTGGACGCTGTGCAACTGGTTCTGAGAGGGTTGTGCATGGCTGCCTCTGTTGCTTCAATCTCATTCATGGTCACCGCTAAGGAATCTAGCTCTATCGAAATTTATCTCATCCAGTTTCCTCTTCAGTCCAAGTGGTCTTTCTCTGACTCATTCGAGTGAGCTTCCTCCATTTTTTTTTCAGTCAATGCTTCATGATCTGCTTCTCTCTCTCTCTATATGTATGTATATTCAAGTCTTGTGTTTTTTTTTGTTACTTCAAGTTTTGTTTTTGTTTTGTTGCTGGGTGTGCTTCGTTCTTTTCTACCTATACGTTAAAATGATGGGTTGTTCATGAAAAACGGGTTTCTGTTCTTACTTTTGTTTTTTTCAGAGAGGAGAGAGAGAAGTAAAAAAGCAATGCAAGTTGTGTTTTTGAACTAACTGGAACTTATAGAGTAAGAACCTGTTTCTGTTGAGAAGAATCTTAAGGAGATTATAATTTTGGCGTGTTTGCATGAAAATAAAAAGACCATTTAATGTGTTTTTTAAGGTGAAAAAGTTAATTATTAAAATTTCTTCTTATCTCTTTCAATATCTTTCCATTCAACCAAACACAAAACAACATTAGAGTAAAGAGCATGTGAAATTCTAAATAGTAATGAGAGTATTAAATTCATATTAAAAACTGGTGCTTCATTTTCTCACTATTCCTTGGTAACCATGCATGAATTGTTGAGACTTTGCTTTATTCTGAATTTATTTTAATGGTTGGTATTAGTATTATTTTATTGCCAGCAAAAGCAATGTCTTGGGCGTGGCTTGCATACAAAATTGACTAAAAAGTGGGACCTTGGTGTATCAAGTCATCATAATTCATGACATTTGAATGAACAGTTGTAGACCCGTGATCGAATTTTTCTTTTTTCTATCTTTTACCCTTTATTTTGCACCTTTTTTTTACTGTGTTTCTTTGTCCCTTTGCCTCCATATCTCTATAGATTATGCAATTTTTTGAACTTCCCTCACAACTTCATTTAAAATTGGTGTTGCTAGAATAATGTTGGTTTGATCTTCATTTCATATTTTGAATTATGAATTACTAGTGTACAACTTGAAGTTGAATATCCATAACCTCTTATTTCAGTCGTATAAAATTTATTCGTTCATTTAATTTAAAATAAAAAATGTCTATGGTGATTACTGTGAAATTGTTATGGACAGATATCTAGTTGGGGTTGCAGCTGCTGTTGCAGCTCATTCCTTGCTTCAACTACTCATTGGCACATCCAGATTTCTTAAGATGTCTTCTGTGATTCCTTCCAGAAATCATGCATGGCTTCTTTTTGCTGGGGATCAGGTATATATATATATACATATATATATATATATATATATATATATATATATATATATATAGCTCTGAATATTTTTAAGGTTCTTCTTGTGATCAAAATTAATACATAAAATATAAAATTTGACTTAATGAGGATTAGACTGTAGAAAATTATAGGAATTTTAGATTTAGGACTTGAAAATTAATCATATTTGGTTCGTTCATACTAAAGGGAGAAAACTTTGGTTGATTATCTTCTATTCTGTTCTTTGTCGCTCTTCTGTAATAATTCCTTTTGTAGTAATTCGTATAACCTTTTAATGCAAACTATTTTATAACTCCATAACCCCAATACTGATTGGAGAAATTGGAAAACAACAGAAACAACACATGAAAGTTATTATATATACTTCTTTTCCCACAAAGTGCTACCCTCAAGAGTTCAATTATGATAAAATTGCAGGTATTTGCTTATGCATTGATGAGTGCTGGATCTGCTGCATCTGGGGTGACCAATCTGAATCGCACAGGAGTTAGACATACGCCTCTGCCAAATTTTTGCAAGCTTGTGCCCAAGTTTTGTGACCATGTTGCCATCTCAATAGTCTTCACTTTCACCAGCTGTTTATTGATGGCTGCATCTGCAGTCCAAGATGTAATATGGCTCTCCCAACACTGAAAAGTTTCATTTTACTCTCAAGCTATGTCTTCCATACAATGATCCCTATCCCTTTACACCTTGTAGTCAGTGTTCATATTCTCAGATCTCTTACATCTTGGTTGCAAGATGTTAGTTCTGATATGATCTTGATTGCAATATGTTATACAATGATCCCTATCCCTTTACACCTTGACGTAAGTGTTCATGTTCTCAGCTCTCTTACATCTTGGTTGCAAGATGTTACGTCATATTACTCTGAAGCTATGTCTTCCATACAATGATGCCTAACCCTTTACACCTTGTAATCAGTGTTCATGTTCTCAGATCTCTTACATCTTGGTAGCAAGACTTCTGATATGTAATGAAGTCAGTGTATGATACACTTTATCAGTGACTTGTCATCTGTGAATGAATTATATGCCAATACGATTGCTATGAGCAATCTTATACTTTTAAACTGTGTTATACTTTCTCAAGAAACTCTAAACTACGAAGTACCCTTCTGAACATTACATGTATTGCAATCTGGACTCTGTTATTTAATTTTAATATAGTTTAATGATTAAACAAATTTCTTATCGTAAAGTAATTATTATAAAAACTAATATGGTCTTTTTAATTGTATAATCTCAAACTGTTCTAAATTGAACATGCATAACCAATTTCCCATGCTTCAACTACAATTAATAGTTTAATTTTATAAATTTTAGTTTTTTTTTTTCAACTTCAGCTCGAAGTCAAATTTATTCATTTAATAACATTTTTTTACTAAGTATGGTTTATCTGTTAGTAGAACTTCTGAGTTTTTTTACGCTTTCTTTTATTAGTCTGCAAATTATTGTTGATGAAAATTCTATCTCTTTTTAGATGTTTCTAGTGTTTACTTTGAGGAAACCATTTCACCAAAGAAAAAAAAAAAACTTCTTTCGTAGAGAAAACTAGAAAGGTATTTCACACTTAACTATGAAACTGACATTATTTTATCAGTCTTTATACCCTTACATTTTTTAGTTGAATGTTAACATGAATAGCCAGATTATCTAGGCTTGGTTTTGACATCATCATTTATATAAAATCATCTCTGCCATGCAACTTTCTATTAATTCATCATCAAGCTTAATTTAGTAATGAAGGAAATATGTTTCCATTTTTCTTTTCAAACTAGTTGGTTTACACTTGTAAAAAAATGTAGTTTTTTTTTTTTTTGTTTAATGAATGTTCAACATTTATTATGAATGCCTTTTAATTTATAACAGATCACACATGCAATTGGGTATTATATAAAATTATATTAAAAGGTAGGTGTTGTGACACAGGATGAGGTGGGTAGGGAGTCAATTTTCTTACCCAGCAAGTTTTTATCTTAAAATCTGCAAAATTTTGGCAAAATCTCGCATCAGTAAACTTCATTACCAAACCTAAGTACATTTGGTAATTGACTTAGGGCTGTTAAAAACTCACATCACCATAGCTAAAGCTTCCAACCTGATGGAATTAATGTTTTGAATTTATTCCAACTTTAGCAGTACTCATATTTTAACTGCTGTCACATTTGTGTCAGTAAATGATAAGGTGCAGTTATGATTTGTCCTACTTCATTTCTGAGCTTGAATAATATAACACATTCTATAATTCCAATGTGACCAATATGAATGAACATGCCCATGATGAACCCCTCAACACTTCACACACGTTATGCCAACACTCCAAATCAAAACCACCCAATAACCGTCACGTTCCCCCACGTAAAGCACACTTAGTTCATTCGTGTCAGTCTCTTATATATAATAAATGCTGCATTTGGTCACAACTATTCATTGTTGCATTTCAGTGTGAGAAATTAAGATGAACTCCAATATGGCTACCCTTTTGAGCGTGCTCTATGTTGTCTTGGCTGTGATGAATAGCCCCGTCAAAATAGCTGCTAGGGAATTCAGAGTGGGTGGTGACTTGGGTTGGCATGAACCTGCCCCCAATGACACTGCATTTTATAATCAATGGGCTTCAATCAACAGGTTTCAAGTTGGTGACTCTTTAGGTAACAATGACTGAACCATTCATTTGTTTTAATGGTTTAAAGATCTCTAAAATCAGATGATGATACTTCTAGGATGTATCACAATTTAATTATTGTATATTTCTCTGCAACTTTAGTAATAATTCGTCCTTGAGGTATATTTTCTATCTATCACAAGTTGGTGAGGTCAACATGAGTTAATATAATTCGAATTCTGATTAAAATCGCACTGAAAACACTTATGGAAATGTATGTATCTAAGTTTTATGTAAACTAGATAACTGCATTAATTGTTGTTGTGTGGTGCAGTTTTTGAGTACCAGAATGATTCAGTTGTGATTGTGGAGAGATGGGAATACTTTCACTGTGACTCAACCAGCCCCATCAACATGTTTGACGATGGGAACAGCACAGTGATTCTTGACAGCCCTGGGATGTTCTACTTCATCAGTGGAACTGAAGATCGTTGCCAGAAAGGGGAGAAATTGATTGTAGAAGTCATGTCACCACACCCAATTACAAAGTCTCCACCCTCCATTGCTTCAATTCCACCACAAGCTTTCCCACCATCGCCTCCTTCTCATAGCCATGGCTCAAGGGTTTCTGGTTCCATGGTGCTTGCTTCAGTTTTTATGGCACTTTTTACCACATTTGTAATTCTGCTCCTTTTAGCACCCTGAACTTTTTCTTTATCTGCTCACATTGGTTAACTAGTATCTTTTATTGCTTTAGAGTCTGATTTATGTATGTATTAGCATTGGCATTTGAACTATATTTACTTTTCTACTACAATATACCATGATTTGATGATATTGGGTAATGGTTTTTGTGCTCTATTTGGCTTGACCTTCTTTTCATTTTTGCACTTTTGCATGATTGTTGTGTCAGTGTACGAGTTCACATATGACATGTTGCAGGTTTTGAGTCCACATTGATTGGCCCAAACAGAAAATAGCTAAATTATGGGCTTTATCAAAACATGTCTTAAATCATCACTATTGCATGTTTTTGTTTTCTAGTATACATGGATACTGTTTTCCTCAAAGGCAAAATCTTTTATCCTTCTTTATAGTTTGGTAAATTTATAATCAATTTGATGGCATCAGAATTCCTAGACAATAATCCTTGTAAAACATTAATTGGAAAATATATTAAAAAACAAGAAGACTAAACTAAATCTAGAACATTCAAATTAGATTCCTCCATCTTCCGTTGTACCCTTGTGTGGAGTGCAATAAACATAAATTGGCACATAAATATTAATTATTGATAGACCCACCAAATGGAATCAACCTTTCCCTTCAATCATATTCAATTTGGAAATTATTTATAATTATATATAAACAAAAAGATACTATTTTTTTTTTAACTATTTTGGTATACCTATTTTTCTTACAATTCTTTTTTTTTTTCAGAAAATAAATACTCCCATTAATGCCCTTCTTCCCCTGAGTTTATGTGTGAATGGAATAAATGAAATTTAATTAAAAAAATAAATAGATGTTCAATAATTGTAAAGTAGAGTGTATTCTACTCAATATTCTTAAACCTATTGTTTTAAGATTACACTTTTATTATTCCTCTTCAACCCTATCATATGTTTATATTTCTCAAATTGTTGAGAGGCTTGATATTCTTTCGCACGGAGGTTCCTCAATTTTTTAGAACTTTCGGTAGGTTTTGATTTTAAGCATAAAAATATATTTTTCTTGAGGATGATCTTCTTTATTTAGTATTTATATTTGATAAAATATTATTCTACATTTGTATCTTCTTCTATATTATTATTATTATTATTATTATTATTATTATTATTATTATTATTATTATATAAAAGAAAGTTCTTTTTTTTTATAAATGTTTTTATGTTATTAAAGAAAAACAAAATGTCACATATATATATATATAAACTATTTTTTTAATATCGTATTTAATATATACATTAAATTTAATAAATTAAAATAAAAAATACAATCAAAGAAAAGACATACATACCCATCTATATAACTTAAATTAATATAACAAGCGTATGTGTTTTTATATTTTTATAAATTTATTTAAAATTATATTTTTTATTTTGTTTTCACGTTTCTTTTACATTCATTTCACTATATATTTTGTCCTCTTCTCTTTCTACTATTTTTTTTTGAAACATATAAATCATATAATAATTATTTTTCCTATATTATCTCTCTTATTTATAACTCATATAACTTATATCATAGGATGATCCGTTAATTATAAAGAAAATCTAAAAATTGTATTCTAGATTATCTGTTGGTATCAATTAATATATAAAAAATAAATAAGTTTCCCTTATAAACAAATTTAATCTATAAATAAACTAATTTAAGTCATTCAAGTTTGTCTTATTTTCATTTTTAAAAGTGACTATTAAGAGGTTTTACCTAAAACTAATTTGAGGGTCTTCATTGTAAACATCTAAGTCAAGTGCTAGTCTTTGATAAATTTTAAAATATTTGGTTTTCTATTTTGTCATTGTGTTAATGTTTTTTGATATTATAATCCCCGCATTTCACATGTTTGAATTTGGTTGTTTTGTTTACAATAAACATTAAATTTGTAGAAAAATTAAGACAAAAAGAAGTTAATAAACTCAATGAAGAAGAATGACATCACACTGATTTTAAGATCCCACCACCACTAATTAAAACTTCCCTTGCTTTCTGGATCACAATCTATTGAGAATATCTCCTTTTAAAAGGACAATGTTAGTCTTCATGCATTATTGAAACTGGTGGATGTAATTATCAAATAATTTAAAACCCGACACACACACTAATCATCAATGTTACAATTTGTGTCTAATAGCTCAAGGAATAGAATAAGTTCGAGTTTAATCATTCATGTACCTTATTTTCATAAAAACAAAAACCATTTATTTTTTTTATATTTTAATTGTTGAATGATTAAAACCACACCTAAAAGTTGTATGGGAAGTTCTTATATAAAACAAAAAATAGCATGCAACATGTCCTTAATGTGATTATCAAAAGGGTATGTCCAACAATTAATTATTTTTAAGTGACCATACACGTTTGCAAAATTTGTATTCTTTCCCACTTTTGAAAGCATCGTAACTCAATCAATTTTCCTACTTTTGTGAGCTATGCTACTATACTATTACCCCTTTCATGTTTCTTAGATCCATTTCTTTAATCTTTGTTTTCTCAATTCATGGTAATTTAAAAGACAAACGAGTTTAATTATTAAGTGGCTACTTCTAACCTATTTTATCTTTTGACTATAGCACAAGTGTGGGATGCAAAACATCCAAAGCATAGTGCACAATTGTGATGTTTTAAACAGCCAAGACGATTATCATCATGTGACATGTTCGATAAAACCATCTATTGTTTCCGATTTTTTTGAGGAAGACACACGATTAAGCCACATAGTGCTCACAATCTTTCTCTCAAGCTAGGGATCACTTCTTGACCCACCAATTTGTTAATCTCCTTTTTAAGTATGATTAAACAATCAACTAATGCATAAATTGAAAATAAAAAAAAATTATCTTTTTATGTACTATGTAAGCATTTGTATATTATTTGTATGGCATTATTATATATTGATAAAAAAAATCAAAAATTTTCTTTAAGAAGATGATAGGTGTGATGAGATTAGATTAATTAAAAATATAATAATATTATAATATATAAATAAATATTATCTTTATTTTATGAATTTTTAATATAATATTAAAATGAATGATGCGATAAGAAAGTTTGTTTGAAAAGTGTGCGCCATTAATATTGTTATTATTGAGTGAAAGCGTTGGACATGTATGAAACTGGTTTCGTATTCAAGTGCCACGACGACGTACTCTTCTGATGAGGATGATGATGTTGTGGAATTTCAAAACACTGCAACGGCTTCATAGGAATAAGACATGTCAAATACACTTCAAAACCCTATAACGGTACATTTTCCTAAGCAATATCTTCCTTGTTTCTTAATTATAAATGTCTTATTAAAGTCAAAAATATATATTATATTTTTATTTTTATTTTTAAAAAGGAAAGGGTATAATTTTTTGAGTTAGTTTTTCGAATTTTTTTCATACCCGTTTGTTGTGATTTTCTCTATTCCATCTTCTTTCCGTCTCTTCCAAGCTTTTTAGTCAACCAAAATAAACGTGCCCTATTAATTTCAAACACTAGATTTCATTACTGATAAATAAAAGTTGCTACTATTTTTTTTTTTTTACAAATTCAAGTAACACAAATTTATTTTCAGTCAAAATATTTTTAAAACATATTCATCGACCTTGGTGTTATTAATAAAACAATAGTTATTAAAAGTAATATCATCATTAAATATTCTTTTTAAAATAGTATCATACCAAATAAAGAGATGTGACTGAATGACGAAGGCAATGACACAAACACATTAACGGATATAATTAGAATATAATCACAAAAAGATAAAGTTAAACCACGATTAAAGTTAAACAACCAATTTGGTAATTTCCTTTTGGAAAAGGAAAATAGTGAATACACGTTGGCTCACCCCAAATGTATTTATAATTAATTTAAATATAAGAGGCAAATAGTTTTAAATAATAATATTTTTATAAATTATAAAGGTGAATGAATAATTAAACTTCATTAATGTATTATGACATTGTTTTTAACATATACGGCATCTTGGTAATTACAACGCAACTAAAAACAAAAATCTGTGTCAGAAAAAGTATTGAAATTAATTGAGCATGCGTGAGAACAATTTCTTAATTTGATAGGAACATGTATTTTTGTCGTAATAGTGGTACCATTTAAAGTTCATGTTGCCTAGGAGACTAGAATACTTATGTATACATGAATTTAGTAAGAGAGTGAACCCTTTAATTTACTAACTTGTGTTTAACATTTTTGGAAAATATTTGAAATTATAAATTTTAAAAGTATGCATCAAAGAATCCACGTAAAATGACATACTCCAATATTTCCAAAACAACTACTACATGCGTGTTTTATTATACGTCCTTGTAAAATCAAAATCACATTAGGGATTTTGATGAGATGGTTTCAATGGGATTTATAATTAATAAAAACACGAAATATAAGCATATTTTAAAAATAACATATTGTTGTATAATTAACGTATGAACTAAGGAAGTTGTTTTGTTTTGTATTCCTTTTTATGCTTAAAAACAAGTCTTTGAAATTGCAGATTGTATCAAACAAGTTCTTGTTTGATACATACACAACTACATGCAATCACGGGCTTCCCACTCAGTCATTTAAAACTATATCTCTGCAAAAAACTAATTTAAATGAAGAATAACTTGGAAAAATTACTCAAAAAGAAGAAGAGATTTATCATCAAATAATAAAGTATATAGTTCTGTACAGTAAGGTAATGTGGTAAAAATTTATTGGGCATTCACATTTTCTGTTTCTAATTGTATAGAACAGAGGAAGGGGGTTGAAGATGAATAGTACAAGGCAACGTTGCTAAGGCTAAGGAAGTAACTATAACTTATGAGTATTAAGTAACGTGTGAAATATAATGAACACACTACAAGAGTAAATTAAAGTGACCCTGGACCAGTGACAGCAAAAATAGCGAAACACCCATTAATGGTACTTGTAAATCCCACATGTTGGGAACTGAAGAAGGAGCCATTTTTCAATTTGATTGTGGTGTGAGTGGTGCCAAAAGTGGGGAAGCAAGAACCGAACGCACCGTTCAATCCCAAATGGGTAATAGTGTTTCAGAACAAGACTCGTTGAAACTCTGTTGCAGAAATAACTCCTCCGCACAGAACGACTCCAATGGCGGAAACACCCAACTGTCAACAACGTCGACCATCACGAACGAGTCCACGCAGGACTCGAAGCTGTCTTCGATGTTCGGCAGCTCCACTATCTCGCTCAGTTCGGATTCATGCGAAGTTTCCGTTTCCGAGTCCGACGATTGTGTCGCGCGGTCGAATTTAGACATCGAGGCGGCGGCGCTGGCGGCGGCTTGAATGTCGCGTGGGGAGCACGTGAGGGGACGGGGGAGCAGGTCTGCGATTTCGGGGAAGTTGAGGATTGCGGATTGGCCCTTGATGCTGAGCGCCGCCACGTCATGAGCCCGCGCCGCCATTTCCGGGGTGGCGAAGGTTCCGAGCCAGATGCGGGACTTCTTGCGCGGCTCGCGGATTTCGGACACCCATTTGCCCCAATTCCGCTTCCGCACACCGTGGTACACCGGGTGCTTGCTGCAGTCTCTGGGCCTCTTGGTCCGGGCCTGAGCCTGAGCCTTTGGGCCCGAATGTGAGGACGGTGAAGATGTAGAAGAGGTTGTTTCGGCCGAGGTTGTTTCAGACGAGGTTGTTGTTGTTGCTGTTTGTGTCATTGTTGAAATTTCAGAGTGCGAATGAATGTTTTGGTCTGTGGAGCATACAGATACATATAGAGGAGTGTAGAGTCTGAAACTTTAACGTATAGTATAGGGGTTGTGCTAGAAGGTGAGTGAAGAAGAACTAGGACACACCATACATGGCGTAATGCTTTCGTAGTGAGTGAATAGCACGCTCTCTTACAGCGACCCTTGACCTACCATTTATATATTTCACACACTTCACTCTTTTTTTTTCAACTTTTTTAACCATCCATCTGAAAATATCATCCAACGTCATTTGACTTACTCTTTCCAAACATGAAATGGTAAAACTCGTTAGTTTCTGAATTAAAATTAATTACATATTTCCCATTTAAGATTAACGAAAATTCTTCTTTATTTTACATTAATTTACACTTAGCACTACATTTCTTTTTCTCGATTTTGTTTCGGACATCATTAAAAATAGGATTTGATGTTCTCTTTATGAACTAACTAGCTTAGGTCTATCTTTTATTAGCGAGACTGATATAAAAGTACGTTAATAACGTTTTAGACGTATTTGGAGTGAAACTAGTGACTTCTTTTCGTCTTTTTTTTTTATATGTCTAAAATTAACTGCAAACATGTTTCTATCAGTGTATTTATTTTCTGAGAAAAAAGAAAATGCATTGATAGTGTAAACTGTAAAGTTTTTTCTACACTATATATCATTCAAACTTGTCTTGGACAAGATTATTTAAAAACAATTATCTGTCTAAAATAGACCAAGTTGATGCATCTAGAACCAGAATAAAGTGTTGACTAAAACATTATCTCTGGTAAATAAGATTTAATATATCTCAACTAATGCCATTATTAGACCAATTGGGTCTGAGCACAGCCAGAAAAGAAAAAGAAGCACTCTACCAATTACCGGTTTTTGAAATAAAAAAAGTTGCACTGATTTCTTCACTTAATTTATTACAAAAGCTCCTCATTTAAGCAAAAGAAAAAAGACAAAAACAAAGATTATTGAGAAATATTTAACTTGACAATTTCAAAAGGGTTTAATGGAATGGAAGGTGTTTAAAAAACAACAAATTTGGCTGAGAAATATTTAATTTGACAAGTACTAGTTGACATAGGTGTAGATAAATGGGTTGGAGAAAGGAGACACTACGGGTACAAAGAGACCCCACACCAATATTCTAGCCTCAACGTTCATTAAAACATTTCTTATGCCCGTTGCCATTGTGGTTAAATTGTCTCTTCTTTTGTCCAAACCCCGTTCCTCACTATTTCAACAATTTCATCACGAATCCATTGGTGTAGTTTTGTTGTTCCACCTTTTTATCTTTACCATCTAGTCTTTGACGAAATCCAATGCACATTTACTATTCTCATTTCTCATTTTCCCCCCTCCTAGTTTTTTCAATCTTGGTGTGCATTAATTTAGGACAACGACTTGCGATGAAAACGAAGGAATTAGAATCATAACCACACACCCTTTTGAGAGAAAAGAGGAAGGAGCATATCCTCCATAGGGCACACTAGGATTTGGGTTGTCTAATGCACCATTAGTGTCTTAATCACCATTTCTACTAAGGAAAGGAGAAGCATCTCCACCATGCATGGTTGCCTTCTATAGCTACGCACCACCAACGCAAAAACCTACCATTACTCTAACCTTGCAATGCCCTAGATGTTTAATTTCAGCATGGCTCTTGCAAAAGTTCAGTAGACGTGACACTTCAAAATTCATGCTCAATCATTTGGAGTTTATATTCTTACCATGGAAGTTGATTAAAAAAAAAATGACTTTATGTGATGGTAAATATTTAAATAATATTACCACTTTGTATAAACCCTAGTATATACCAAGATCCAACCACTGTTTTCAGTCCTATTTCGCTCCAGGGATAGAACATGGATTAGTCTTAGTTTATTATTAATTAATTAATGGCTAATGACGACAAAAAAAAAAAAAAAAACAAACTTGTTTGGGGTGACAATAACAACAATGAGAAGAAGAAGTTAATAACGTGGTTCCATTATCATTCGAATTTGTCTTAACATACACAGATCATTATTAACGTCTCGAAAACACAAAAGAAACAAGACAAAGGAAAGAGTTGTAATTATTTAAGTATTTGTATATTTATTTTGATTTTTTCTGGTATAGCACAAAGTAGGGTATTGTCATTACAAAAACAATGGTGCAGGCTAACACAAGAGTCGTACTAATTTGTGCTTAATTTACACGTTTACTTGAGAAAGAAATGGATCTGGTTACAAATTCAGTCTTTTTCTATTTACTAATTGTGGTTGGTTTTGATTATATTATTACCAATACGTATTCGTTGATGTAAGCCCTTTTATTTAGCTTAATTCACATGCTTTGTTATTAAATCACGCCACTAGTGTTTTTTTTTTTTTTCAAATTAATTTTAACTCTCTTTTTAGGGTATTGTGTTGTAAAATAAATGGTCAACGTGCATACTCGGTTTGGCATGAAATGAATGTGTGACTGACGCATGCACGATGTCTCACTTTGATCAAACCCACTGTTCCTAGGTCGCAGTCCAGCCATGAACTACCTGCACCTCTTTTCTTTATAATTTACATGGAATATACCAAATTCAGGTGAAGACCCAAAACATTCAGTTCATTAAATATACCATAAAATAAGTGAAATGTAAATTCTTTTATACCAATCTTTATTATTAGATTATATGGTTCTCAATTTGCAATTTTTATATTTTTTCACTTTTTAAACACAATATACCAAGTTAGGTAACGTTGGATTAAATTATTGTCATTGACAACGTGTAGCGCGATCCTAATTAATTTGCCATTCCCTTTTGGTATTTCATAATATACGCACAACAAACTTTCCTACCTAAAACCCTACCAAATCCTCTAATTATAATATCCCATAACTTTTATACATCAAATATCTAGGGTTTCCTTTATGTAAATTACCGTGTGTATTTTCTGTAGCTTAAATTTAAAGTTTTCATTTTCAAAACATTCCAATTTTTTAAAGACATTGTCTTATTATTTTCTTTAGACCCACCTATTAATCGTGTTAGATTTCGTCAAGGTGTTTTTTATTTACTCATTTATTACTATTAAATGTTAGTTTTTAGGACGTGGATATAATAAGTTACTCACTAAATAGCTGTCATAATATAATGGTTATTGTGTGTCTTACTGTACTCTTGTATTTTTTTGTTGGGACGTTTTTCCTGTGCTTATAAATATGTACTATTTGTTGGGACTTTTTTCTATGCTTATATTTGAAAAAAACAAAATATGTTTTAGAGTATAAAAACATAAACCACTAAACTGTATATCTTTATATGTTTTTGAACACTTTTCTTAAATGTATATATTATTGTTTTTATTTGGTTACATTATAAAGAATATTAATGTAAAATTTTTGTTTTTAATATTGAGTTGAATATAATTTTAATAAATTAGAAAGTAGCTATATAAGTTCTTTAATTGATTAATATTTGTAAACGGTAATTGTAATTACTTGATGAAGTAATGAATTAAAATAAACCTACATATATAAATAATTTTTTATATTTATATGGTTAATTAGGATAAAATATTAAATTATATTCTTTTTAAATTATTAGCAATAATTAAGAAAATGAATACAATCTAATAGTTTTGTTGCAAAGTTATATAAGTTTAACCAAGTAAACACAAATTTTATATCTAGAATAATTGATTAAGACATGTTTTATATTGGTGAAATATGATATTTATTATATTTTAAATTATGATGATGGAATATATTTTTAAAATTTGTAGTTTCTCTGTATGTTAATATTTTTTATGTGAAGCATGGTATATTCAAACTAAAAATTATAAGATTTAGAAAGAGAGAGTTCTTCTCTATTTGAGTTTATGCCATTAGAAAATCATAACTACTAGTTATTACCAAAATTGCCACTCTAGGTGTTGGTCTTTATGAAAAATGGAAGATGTCAAATCGTTTCTTGTAACGCTCATAAAGACCAATATTTCTACTCGAATTCAAAGTTTTGTTGATAATTATAACAATGTGGAACATTTATTAAAGATTATTGATAGATAATTCATCGCATCTGATAAATCTTTTCTTAGCGGTTTTATAATGCAATTTTCATCCTTAAAACTAAATGAGATTAAAGGAGTGTGTAATCATATCATGCACATAAGACATTGTGACTCAACTGAAAGCCTTGGAGTCCTAAACTACTAAGGAAGTTGGGACAGTCATCTGAAATTTGGAACGACCGTCCCAAACTACTAAGGAAGGTGGGACGATCATCTCAAATTTGGGATGACCGTCTTGAGCAAGTCAAACAAGTGGGATGACCGTCTAGAATTTGGAACGATCATCCTGATTTCTCTGACAAAATTTCTAATTTTTTATTTTATAAGAAAACCCTTCTTTTCTTAAATGGAGCCTAGCTAACACTACTAGGGGTCCTATGAAGCCTTGTCCATCTTTAAAATGGAGGATTTCTTAACTTGTTGAATGACTTGACAAGATTTGGAGTCTACAGATGGGACCAAGAAAGGATAAACAAACAACTATCTTTTCTATAGCTACTAGCAAATGACCTAGAACAGGTCAATCATCTGCATCTTTTGACAGCAACCTCTTTAGAGATCAACAGAGGCATCAGAGGTATGAGCTAATGTAAGGTTGGAACTTCCAATTCAGAACAACGAGTGGAATTAAAAGAGAGTGAATACATCAAATTCAATGAGGAAATCACTCGAAGAAACTAGAGACAACTTGCAGAGCCATGGTTTAAGTTTGATCTCGAGGTAGTGAAGGAATTTTATGTCAATGCTTGGCTGACTGAAGAAGGACACCATGAAAAGCGATCCAAGGTTAGGGGAAGGTCCATAGCCTATGATCGGGATGCAATTAATGAATTTTTGGGAGTCCAATTGGAAGAATGTCAGTTATGCACATATCAAAGAATGCGGAGGAGCATAGGCTTAACATAACGAAAATTCAACGA